CGATGGCGTCCTGCGCTCAACTCGTCCTGCCTTGAATGGATCTATCTGCGTCCGTCGAGGAAATTATCTGCGTACGTCGAGGAAAAAAGTCCAGACTCACAAAACCGATCAGAATGGGGGGATACTAGTCGAAGTTCGACAGAGTATTATAACGGTAGCCGTCGTCAGGCCGTATACCACCGGACTCTCAGGACACGATCGACCGATGATGGGCAGTCACAGGGAGCAATCAATCTTGAGCAGCGCCATGCCGTCTTCGCGACAGAGGGTACCGTAGCATCCTCCATTCGTTTGCTTCTGCGACGCCAACACATTTGACAGCCACCATGAAATTTCTGCACAAAAAAGTCGATTTATGAGCAAAACGTCTCACATCCAAAATCGTTCGGATGTTTTGGAATGCTCTCTCTGGTAAACCCATGTCGTCAGACAGCCGGGAATTGAACCCGGGGCTACCCCATGGCAAGGGGTAATTTTACCACTAAACCACTGTCTGGAATGAAAAACTTGCTCAATGGATAATCCTTAACCCCTGCACACGTTTTCGACAGAGTAAGCGGTTGGACAACCGTGTTTGCTTGCTTGCTTGACACCGCGCAAAGTATGACTGATCTCTCAATCTCCTGCATACGAAGCGATGCAAACGCCATGATTCGTGATCGAGTAGCGAGGGTCTTGGCCGTTGAAGAATGCTACCCGCGAGCGACAACCCTTTCTTGCATTCATGGTGGGTGACGTGCCAAGTTGTGAGTACTGTAGGAGCAACGAAGGAAGACTCGACTTCAAAAGAACTATTTGGTCAGCGAGGAACCGAGCGGAAGGCATTTCGATAGATCTTTCGTCCCTATCTTGCAAAGGAGATCGGCGGACTTCCACCGATACAGAAAACTATTGTATGCGGCCCACGAGCTGATCATTCCGGACGGATAAGGCATGGAGTAGGCTGCTGGCTGGACATACACGTCCCTTCTTCACCATGCGATTCCGAATCAGCTATGGTGGTAGTCCAAGGCCCGCCTGGTTCCAGCCTTCTTCTGGATGTGGACCAAGCTGACTGGCTTCCGACGTGTGGGCTTGGCGTGGGGTTTCATCTTCTGACCTTTGCCTTCACATGCTGCGTCGCGGCATTGTTTTCGTGTGAGAAACCTGGCCCGAGTGGCGAAGTTGTCAGGCGGCAGCGAGTCATAGCTCAGGCCGGAGAGATGCTGATATTGTTCACGACTCTTCATCCTCCTCTTCCTCGTCGTAGTCAAAGTCATTCTCCTCATCTCCAAACGCCAGAAGCTTCGAGCGTGCTTGGACGCCTGCTACCGGTGCCTCAGCAGTCTTTCTACTCGTGGATACCAACCTGTTGCCGTCGTTCCCTACCGTCAGGGCCGCCCGCTTCTTCCTCAAGCTTTCCAGTCTCCTCGCCAACGCCCCTTGCTCCTCCCTCAGGTCTCTCTCGCGATCGAGCCTCTCTCCTTCGGCATCTTCGTCCTCCTCATCCTGTGCCTCGGGGGCAAGAGTGGCGTCCTGCTCCAGCTCGGCCACGAACCTTGCGTATTCGGCTTCCAGGGCCTGGTCAGCGGCCTGCTGAGCGGCTGGCGTTGGGGTGTCGAAGAAGCCGGCCGGTAGGACAGGTGCTGCTGGCGCTCCCTCTGTTTCTGGTACAGAGTCATCGACGACTGGCGATGACGGCGCCGTGACTTGCACGTCACCGGTGCTGACTGTCCTCTCCTCCGCTCCCAGTTCCGCGTCCACGTGGTCCCTGGTCGCTGTTTTCAGTCGTTTGGAAGGAAGCTCTGTGGCCTTTTCTGGTTCCCGCTTCCGAGTGGTCTGCGCTGACGCAGGTGGCGAGGGTTTTGCGCCCGCTACGACTTGTTGTTTGCGAGGAGCGGAGGCATTTGGCGCCGAGGAGCGGACGGCGGAAGCAGCTGGTTGGGATTTTTTTTGAACTCCTGAGGGAGCGCGGGCAGCTCGAGCCTTCTTAAGAAGCGATCTGACGTCTGACATCTCTATAAAACTTTGAGATATGGAGCGACGGGGCTGTAGGGCGGGTGGAAAGACGAGAGGTTGAACGGGGATTGCTGGGATCTACCTACCGGACGGGGGGGAACGACGTGCAACCGACGTGCAACTGGAAGAGCGGGCTGTCGAGCGTTTTTCGTCGCCTTTGGGCATCGTTTCGTCCAAACACTCTCTTGTTTCGCGAAAGTCTCAACTGGAAAGGCACGAAAGCATGCCATCAAAAAAGAAGCACGCGGAACCAACTCCCTCCAAATCACCTTCAGTCGAGTCCGACTCCGGCTTGGAGGAAAATGAGAACAGCCAGGAGGATGCCATGTCGTTAACGGCCGAACCTCGCGTTCACGAGCACGAGGAAGACCTCCTGGACCGAGCCTACCGACCTCCTCGAGGATACGCACCCGAAGAGCTCTCGACGACCGTCAAGAGCCCGTTCGACCTGAAATCTCTGGAATGCTCGCGCGATCGCGAGGTCTGGCTGATCAGGGTCCCGTCCGACGTCCCCCTCTCGGCTCTGGAAGGATGTCTCCTCCGTCCACCACCGCCATCACAACCAGCGGCGGGCAGCAACGGCGGCGGCGTCCTCGGCACCCTGGTCACCCATCCTCTTCCTCACACGTTCCGTCAGGTGTCCGCCCAGGACGCGGGAGAGATGGCCAACCTCTTGCCTTTGCTGCCCTGCCGAAGCACAGGGTCGTACGAGCTGGCGGCCAACCTCCGCGTGCATCGATACATCAACCTCAGCGTGGAGGACGCGACGGATCGGGACGGGGAGAAGGACAAGGAGTTCGACGTGGGGGCCTTGCGGAAGGCGGGAGAGGAGATGATGAAGGTCGCCAACGATCGGGCCGTGCATCCCGAAGGCATGGAACTGCAGAGTCCACCCTTTGGATTCGACACGGGTAACGTCCGCTTCTCTCTGTGTGTGCGTGCGATCCCGGAAAGGGCGCGGTGGATGTTGAACGCTCCTTTTTTTTTCTTCTTTTTCTTGTTTCTGATGATTCGTTAGATGGCAAGGCGCTCGAGCTGTCGCTGGCCCGATATGGAAAGGAGCGCACGGAGCTTCCCAGCACCTACCTGCGGCCATCCTCGGTCAAAGCATCGTCGGACTCCACCCCCAAGTCAAAAACGGGAACACCGTCTTCGACGAAGAAGCGCAAGTCAGATAGCACAACCCCTGCGCCTTCAAGTAGCAAGAAGGATGGGAAGGAGGCGTCGGGCTCAAAGACCAAGGTCGTCAGCGAGAAGAAGCGAAAGAAGTTGGCCAAGGAGTCTTAGGCAGCATTTCGCACTCGTAGCATACAGTACAATAGATTTTCAGGCGATGCACTGCGTGAGCGGCATCCTTTTGGCATGAAAACCGATCCTAAATTTCGCCGGCAAACTCAAAAATGTCTAATCAAAAATATATTCTAGTCCGGCGGCACAAATGAGTAAAGAAAAACTACGAAATGGTGCATTCCCCGCTAAAGGATTCAAAAGTTCATGTGGTGTCCATCCATATCCATGGTGGGGGAAAGGGTCATACGCGGTGTGGAAACGCGTGGATGCATAATGCGAAAGTGAGAGGGTCAGAAAGTGAAAGTCAATAAACCGTAACAATGGCGCGCAGGAGCGCATCTACAAGAAACCCGATTCCTTGAGCAAGCGAGCAATCTTCTCGTCCTCCCTATTTCAAGATACGAGGAGAAGGGTCAGTGGGCCTTGATGCGCCGAACATCAGGAATGATAATCCTATGCCATACCTTTCTCGAGGCTCCATCTCCAAGCTGACGTTGTACAGATCGTTGTCCTCAACGGCGGTATCCAAAGCACTCCTGAGCCACTGCTGCAGCTCCGGGACGGCCATCAGCACGTACGGTTGGTTCTGGTACTGTTGAATCTCACGTAGCACATCAGCCGTCTTCTGCCGTTTGGCAAAGTTGATCAGATGCGGGGCGGCCGACAAAGAGTCCGGGTTGCCGTCCTCGACAAAGGTGAGGTCGGTGAGGTAGAAGCCAAGGAAGGGCACGCAGGGCGGGTTAGCAGAGTGGAGCGCCGATCGGTAGTTGCCAAAGTTGCGAGTGGCGGACATAGTGGTGCGAAGGGCGTCGAGCATATCGTGACTGCGCTGGGAAACGAGCTCCCATGTGCGCTTCAGGCGGTGGATGGGGGCAGAGTTGAGGCCCGCGAGGATGGACATGAGAGTGTTGAAGTTGTTCAGGGCTCGGCACCGCTAAGGAGTCAAGAAGTCAGTCTTGAATCTCGGCTAACCGATGGGACTCAAGACACTGGGCACTTACATCAGCGATGTAGATGAACTGCTTTAGAATGTGTCCACGTTTCTTCGGATCCTTTTCATTCAACACTGAGTAAGCGACCCACCCCGTAATCTACAGATATAATCATTCGAATCTGAAGTTAGATGAAGGTCAGACAGTTGGAATTGTACGTTGTACCATACCTGGTTGGACATTGTAATCATAGCCTTGACGTTGACTGCAGCATTGCCATCCTTCTCACTCCAAGCCTTCTTCAGGAACTCGCCAGGGGCAATCAGATTGTACTGTTTGGACTCAATGATGGTGAGCTGACGAGCGACTTCAGTGGCATCAAGGTCAAGGAATCGGATGCGAGAGAGGTTGCGAGGGATGATGGGAGTAGGGAACTCGCGATTGGGGTTCAAAACCATCTTGCGGGCAGCACCGTTGCCGGTCTCACGTTTCTGGAAGAGACGAGCAAGCTGCGCGGCCGGGCCAGGCATGATCGGAGCGATGGCGTTGGTCGAGAAGTCGCGAAGAGTAGCTAGAGCCGCTCTGTCATCTTCGTCGTCGTCCATAGCGTAAGTCTCGACCCAGTTCTTGAGGACATTGCAAACGCGCAGCCGGACAATCGCCTGCTTCTTCGACGTCCATGTGGCCAACTCGGACTGAGAAAGGCCCGGCGGCGGTTGAATCTCGAATCGGCGAACGAGTTGAGCGGCGAGCTCGCGCGAGTTCGTGAAAGAGCGGTACGTCAAAAGGAAAGCTAGCGTGAAGTGAGCATCAAGAGTGTCGTGCAGCGTCAGGCGTTCCACCAGGGCCGCCAATGTTCCTCCCTTGACTTTTCCCTCCATGTTGAAGACCAGGTCTTCGGGGGCATAGTCGTAGCCCATGTATCGCTGGTCGGGCTCCGTCTCAGGAACCGGGCTATCCGCCGGGGTCGGAGGAGCATCCTTCCCGAGGATCTGCTGAATCTTGCTCTTCGACGGTCGTCGATCGGCGCCAGGATCACTACTGTTTGGAGGAGCGTGAGAATGTATCGCCGAAGACGACATGGAACGCGAGGGTGCCGGGCGGTGATGTTCGCCGTTATCATAGGCATAAGGTGGCGGAGCCCGCTGCATCTCCGCTGCTTCAGGGGCGTCGACGTTCGGAAGTGCTGCAGCCAGGACGGACAGGCTCGTGGCTCTGCGAGGACGCACTAGAGCGGGGGCAGCCCCGTCGCTTGGTCGACGTTCCTGTCCGTACT